GTCATCACACTGCCCCCACCTCCCCCCCCCCTCCAAATCCCATGCTGCAAAAACAAAAACCTCTTAAGTAGTGTATAAATGTACCACCTTAAACAAGATAGATGAGTGGGTGATGTGTAAAAAACAAACACTCACCTTTGTGTCCCTGAACCTACAATCTGCTGCAAACAACTGTCTGGACCTACGACCTGCTCCTGTGACATAACTCTACTATAGAAGACACTGGAGACATCCAGGAGATCACAGTGGCACCTTCAAGCAGTGGATCAGATGATCAAGGACACATAGGTGAATGTGATCTGTCCAGTGCACTTAATGGCACTTGCTACTTGTCATTTAAAAATTGAATAAGGGCAAGCACAATCCAATGTAATAAAGTTGTATGACATTAGAAACAAAGCACTGGAACTTACCTTTCTCTGTATCCCTAGGCAATGGCATGTGTCACTTTCTATTTCTCATTCTCAGGGTCTGTCCTACTTTCATTATAGTAGTTCCTACATTAATAGAATAAGTGCTGCAGGACCAATGAAAGAGCAGACTGTGTGAATTATTCAACATTATGATAGATTTATACTGTGCCATGAATTGGCCAGAATTAAAGTTACCGTGCAAATTCCATCTGGAGTCATTTTATCCAGTCGCCAGGACTGAATCTACCAACTAATGCGTACACATTATATCTATACAGTATTAGGTATAAATGTATCCCAGCTACATATGCATACTATGCATTTGTATTTGTAACACTTGGCTGCAACGCTGCAATGTGTATATTGCAGGAAGCCTGTAATAATAACAATGTTACTGCTGAAGCATCAAATGCTAGTATGCAAGTATTATCCTAAATTACACTTATGTAATATATGTAGCTTTTCTAAGTGCATATACAATGGGCATCACGGGCCCAAGCAAGAAGGCAGCAATCTCATATTCTCCTACTTACAAGTGTCTCTGATGGTTGGAGGTGTTAGTTATCACAGAGAAAGATTTTCCTACTTGTTGAAAAATCTCCTTACACACAAAGCCTATTCATTACTTTTGCATCAGGCGAGTATCACAGCAGGTTCCTGTGCTCAGTAAACCTGTGTGAGGCTGGTCAGATACCTCCCCCCACCCATTGTTCTTCTATGTCCATCCTTGTATTATTGGCCTTCACTGATAGGCTTGAGGAAAGAATACAGTCTGTGTACCCAAAGTACCCAGTCAGTTTCCGTTTTTTTTAGCTCAAGTTGGAAGATACAACGAGCTGAGTGGTTGCTGTACGTAACAGTTGCACTCATTTTTTTCATTTGTAAAAAAATCAGGTTGACTGTGCCCAATAGGTTGCACGGACATAGACTGTAGCAAAGCAGAAAAGATATGTACAAAACTCTGGTCTATTTAGTTTTCCACAATTCAGAGAAGTAATGCCATCATACACAGACAAAAATTGTTACATGATAAGAAAGTTGGACAAGAATTGGCCTGTGTATGAAATGTGAATGAATGCACTGGCAGACTGGTACTGGCAGTAATTGGGCAGGTTGGTTTACATCTGTTCATCTTTACAGAGAGGGAGAAAAAAAAACTTGGCGTTTTTTTTTAGCAGGGAGATTGCCAATAAGCAAGGAACAGTGGATGTGTAAAGGTGCCCATACACCTTACGATTATCGGACGAAACTTTCCGTCCGATGATCGAACCGTCGTACGATTTTCGTACGACGGCCCCATCCTGCCCCGATTATCGAAAAGGTTCAATCAGCGGTAGTTAAAAAAAACACCTGGACGACTTGCGGTAATTGAACGCAATTATTTTCGTTTGCGCATGAGCAGTGTTAATCGTACGACTTTTGACGGACGGAAACGTCACCAACCATGCGAACATCGTTCGATCGACCAAAGTTTTCAAACATGCTTGACTGTCAAAAGTCGTACGATTGTACAGTACTATCGGTCGGGCACTCTATTCACACGTTACGATTGTCGTACGAAAAGTCGATCGCATACGAGTATCGTACGATAATCGTAAGGTGTATGGGCACCTTAAGTCAGGTAAATGGGCTATTTCAAAGGTTAGACACAAGCAGGCATGACCAGCTTAAACATAATAAATGTCCCCTATGTATACTCGCTAGCGCATCACACACACAAAAAATAATAATTTCAGTACATAGTTGGGAATGTCCCTCAACATTAATGCTGAAACAGCAAATTACTGCAAAAATGCTGTCACTTCTAAAACAAATATGACATCTTGCTCACAGTTTGTACTTTGTTCAACTTATTTTTAAATCTCCTAGTCAGGTGTGTTTAAATAGGCAATCCAAAATGCAGTGGAGACATGCAAAGTGCAGTAACCAACAGCAACCAAGTGCCTTTTACCTTCCATTGATTTACTGCAGTCCATTGACTACCTTTTGGTTGGAAGAGTTCATGCACGTTCTTTCCTGTAAAAGTTTGGGGTCAAATAAAATATTGAAATATTAGTCACTTTTTAACCGTTTTTTTCTACTGAATGACGGCTTTCTCAGATTATTACACAGGTACCATTTGAGGATGTCCACACAGATATTTGAAACAGCATGTATGACTTATAAGATGACTGCATTTTTTTGTGTTGAGATACACATATTTCTTTTCAATTGTGCATCGATGTCTGGATACAGCCGTATACTGTAACATCCCACTGAAGTCTGGAGTGCAAAAGATTAGGTTTTACAGTCTATAGTTAACTACCAAAATAATATTCAGTCCATTAAACTATTTTGTCTCGGTATTTGGAATGGACTGTTTTTTTTTAACCAGTCAGAATTCTCAATGAGACAAGGCTATCAGGTGCAGCGAGTCTGTCTATATTTGCACTACAGACATCTCTGGCAGTAGAATCAGCTGTGTGGCCACCATGTGTTCCCTACGGGGATGCACCATGTGGGCAGCACACTTTCACCTTCCATTCCTCAATAGCACCATATGGGTGGCTGGCACTCCTAGCAGTCCCAGAGCACCCTGATACTTTAGAGATGTAATGCGTGCTATGGTGCAATTCACAGCAGGAGGAACCTCCATCTCCAATATCATCTCCCATCACAGATAGTAAACTGCTATGCTACAAGCAGAACCCTTTTTTTTGCAGACACATATACACTAATCCTGTTATCCTGCTCACTGAATATCTGAACCTGTGGCCACCTATACCCTTTATATATGTATATATACGATGTATATGGATGAATGAGAAATCTTCAATGTGTAACCCTGTGCATTTAGGTCTCTGCACCTGTGCCTCTATTGCAGTGCATCAAGTCGCCATTATACATTCTGGGGCACAGATGACATGGGAGGATCATGTCTCCTACAGTTTAATGAATATTAATCCTGCAAATGATGTAGCACAGTTCCCAACATAGCACCATTATTGTCTGAAGCAAATGTTGATGTATAGAAGTTCTATTCAAAACATAAAATCCACATTGTTTGGAAGGACTGTTAACCCCATTTTATGCCTTCTATTTACATAACTATTTTCCCCATCACCAATTATTTCTCAGTTCCCACTGTGTGTAACCACAATCTAAAATATTGAAAATGCCACTGACGAGTTTGTGTGTTTTTGTAATCTCTGTTTGTATATGTGGCTATGTTTTCCTATTGTAGAGAGACCCTGGAGACTATGTATGTATAACTTTTCTGTGCGTGTTTGTATACCCTTGAGAAAAGGCCAGTGTTCATCACTGTAACTGTATACATAACTGTGTCTCTACATGTAATCTCATATGTGTACTGCAGTGTGACAGGTTATGTCTGCTGTCTGTGTATAGACTTACATGAGCAGATAAGTTTTCTGCACGCCTGTGTGTTTCTGTGTGTATCTGTGAATGTGCATATTCCTGTGTGTATGTGTGCGCCCGTGTAATTTCATCACACATTCATTACTCAGACTCACTCAGCCATGTAATAGAGACAGAGAGAGCGAGAGACAGAAAATCACAAGGCCTCATTCTACCCCCTCCCTGCCCAGGCCCCAGACAGACAGGCGGGCATGTATATGTGGGGCGGGGGTGAGAACCCACCCTTTGCTGCACCCCACTTAACCCTTTCTCAGGCAACAGGAAGGCATGTGAAGTAACACAGGCAGCTCTGTCACAAACAGGGGTTAGAGTACTTATTATCAAACTGTCTTCTGCTGACTCCATGATGCACAGGGTTAAACCTGTATCTCTCCCCCCTCCCTCTTGCACCCTGTCCTCTCTTTCTTTCACCAAAAACCCTTTCACCTTATTCTGTGACTCCCCCCTCCTTCATTCTCTTCACCCCCCCACTGCTTCACAGTACAAAGACCCTCTCATTCCCCTAACCCTCCCTCCTTTATTCTCACATTCCCCCTCTTCCTACCCCCCTTTCCCATGCTCAGCATAGAAGGAGAGAGAGTGAGAGAAGAAAAAACACACGCTTAAAGGGAAAAAGTTGCTCTGTTGTTCCCTTAATGTTTCTTTCCTGGTTTTAAACAGTCTTTCTTAATCACGCTATTTCAGTTCCTACATGTTGACACTTGTCTCCCTTCTCCCTGTCTCATTTCGTCCGGTGCCTCTGTGCATCCTTCTCAGGATTCTCTCTCACTCTCTTTCTCGTTCCTCTTTCTGTTTCTCTCCTTCTCTCTCACTCCCTTTCTCCGCCCCCAATCTCTCCGTTTCCCTCTCTCCTCTTTTTCCTCTCTCTCTCTTTCTCCCGTTTCTCTGTGTCTCTTTACCCTCCCTCTCTCTTTCCCCCCCTCCTCTCTACTAACCCTCTGCACCTGCTAAGTTTTTTAACCAATATTTCATTTTATTTCACTCCCTGCTTTCACCGTTTACAGAAAAACAAACAAAAATTATCCCCCACTCCAAAAAAAACACATCCTCCCAAACACTACTCCATCCGTCCTCCCCAGACCCTGATGTGGGATACGAGTCCCCGTTCCCGGACAATAAATGGATAAAATAGTGTTCCCCCGAGCAGTAAAGTCTGTGTGTTATACTCACACTCCCGGGCAGAGAAGAGATTATCTGCTCCCGACGTCAGCGCTACGTGGTTGGTGAAGAATTAAACCCATGGCAGGGACAGCGAGATGCCTCTTTGTGCTTTTCATGCGTGCTGCAATTTGCATTTTCTAAGGGCCTTTCATCAAGCATGCGATCTCTCAGGGAGAGTTACACAAAAGCAGCTCAAATCCCCGCCACAAAAATGGATGCCCCCCTTCCTCCCCCTTCTCCTCCTCTATCTCTCTCCTCTCGCTGACTGCCTCTCTCACTTTCTCTCCTTTTCCCTCTCTTTTTAGGAGCAGTCTCTCTTTCAGAGCCTCTCTCTTCCCCCTGTCTCTCTTCCTGTCTGCCTATTGATTAATTTCTGTCTGTCAACACTGCTCTGTCTCTCTCACTCTCCCTGGGCTGATTTTTTTTTTCTTTGATTCTATAATCTCTCTCGCTCCCTCCTTCTCTCTCTCACTCATTCCTTTAATATCTCACTTCATTGTTTCCTCTGTCCCGCTTTCCCTCTTCCTCACTCTGCTGAACTCTCTCTTTTGATCTTTTTCTGTACACTTTTCTTTTGGTTTTCTCTTCCCGTAGCTTCCTCGCTCCCACAGTTTTCCTGTCTGAATCCACACATGGTCCCTCCCCTTTTACACCTATATAATTCTTTTGAGGTTCTTTCTTTCACAATGAGTCTCGCATCTGCTCTTTTTACTCTCTTGTCTGTCACTCTATAGTAATCGAGCTATGATTTATTCTGAATCTCTCCAACCTATGCTGCACCTTTCCTCTTGTCACCTATGCCCTATGGCATGGTTTTCCTCTATTTAGTGTGCCTGTCTTCTACACTAATCATCTTCCCTTGCATCTCCTTCTGCGGTCTCTTCATGCTAACCTCACATGCACTGTGTGTTTCCTATAATTCTCCCTCTATCATACCTCTCCCCCTCCGCATGACCCTCTTAATTATTGCATTTTCCTTCCCTCACCTGTCTTTGTCTTCAGTTTGTGCTGGTCATTTGTGGCAAGGTGCAATTCTGTGCACCAATACCAGTGCCTTACACAGTGTACTATACGGGTGATGTCTGCTGTGGGTCTGCACTGGTGTTTTCTGTAATTTGACTGCAAGCCCAAGATCATGGCTTAATGCACACTGCATGGTCAGATCTTGTACAAATGCCATACTTCAGTCTTTACACACCACTGTCCTGCCAAAGCATCGGCCCTTTGTACAGGTGAAACACTCGGTTAGCTACATTTTATTTAGTAACAAATCTTCGTCCTGCGCAACACCGAAGCCTAAAGTTCTGTGCATGTGTGCCACAATCTGTTACATAAGTGATTCAAAGTGCAGGGGTATTATGCTAAAAAAAAAAGTGGAATTCTGGCTTTTGCCTGCACTATGCATGCTTGACTTCTTGTAAAACGCCCCTGCTTCTCTAATATCTCACCCACACCATCTGTCTTCTTTGCATTCCTTGTTTTCCTTACAATTTACCTAAAACAGAGAGATCTGCTCTTTCCATATGCTCTTTCATTTATCTATCAAACCTCCTCATATGATTCTTTCCTGCTCCATTTTGTATGTGGTATATTACCTGTATCTTCTGTCTCCATTTCTCTGTCTTCCTGTTTGTTTCGTGCCTCCTCACATCTCCGTGAAGACTCAATTTATTGATCAGGAGATAATGAGGACACAGTCTGAATGACAACACAGAGGAGAGAGAAAGAGGCAAAAAAAAGAAATCACTATCACCTTACACACAGATACACAGCCTTCTCAAATATTCACATGTATGTGCAATTCATAGACATACAGATAACACGCAAAATCTGCCTGTGCCACTGATATATATATATCATTATAATAATATCGAATTATTTGAGTTGTGTTCCTGTCATCATCACAGAAATACTTGTGCTGCCATTCCTAAGACCATCCACTATTTGTCAAGCTGTCATGCCGATCCCCTAGTTTCATTACTTAGTAAGCACAGCTGAGCAAACTGATTTCTGAATCTGACAAATTTGGTGAATCCCAATGTTTTCTATTTATTTGAATTGGGTATGCAGATTTATCCAGACTGTGAAGCAGTCTGCAGTTCCTGATTTCTTGGACTGATAAACCATGTGATTTTCCACAGATGAATCTGAAGGCACATAATCAGGCAAACTGGATATCTGCAATTTGCCAAAAAGTATTCGATTTTCCAAATTTACTATTCCGTCATCCTTATTAGTGAGGCAGTGACTCAGAACTAGTATGCAAGTCAAGACTGCTTTTAACAGTTGCATACTTGCTCCAGGTCAGCGACTCACTAGGTAGGAAAGCTGGAGAATCAGCATGTTAGACAGGAAACTTTCTGTCATGACAGGTTCCCATTGAAGCAACTGTGCACAAAAGCGTATCATCCGATACCTCCAGGTTTGCTAGCAAACAATCTTTGTCAGTTGGATATATAAAATATTAGTCAGTAAGAGGTTAGTTCATTGTAATACATAATTATAATAGTCACTTTTGCATGTAATATGAAATGTTATAGCAACCAAGCAGATGTAATTACCCAGTAATACAGCAAGAGTCTAGTGAAACCTAGCTGGTTTATATGGATTAAAGGCCCGTTCACAGCAGGTCATTAAATACCCCTTACTTCCATCCATGGCAAAAACCCAGAGAAATGCTGAGTAGGCCAAATATCACAAGTTGCTTCTGCAAACTCAGTATTCCCTTGAGATCTTGGCAAAGGAGCATGACATCACCTTCTGCAGTATGAAACTGGGGGTAAGTATATTTAGTAACTTTTTCCCTACAGCTTTTGTTATTTATTGCAGCACTTTAGCATGGGGGAGATGTGGGGAGTAAATAAGCAGACCTTGCTGGTAGTGCAGGGTCCACTTTAAAAACAAAACTCAGGAAGTGAAAGTGAAAAGTAGCCCCACCCTCTCACATGACAGAATTTAGTGTGAACTGGGCCAACAGTGGAAGGAGCAGGGAGTTGATGTATAAGACGAGGGTGGAGCTTCTTGTCAGAGAGAAGTCTGGGGGAAATAAAGCCTGCTGGCTGGAATGTGCAGATCTGCCTGCAGTCTGACAATCGTCAGCCTGTTAATCCATTGATTATGGGTATGAAATATGATGGGATTATGTTCGGAGTGTATTGGAGAGCATAGTGGTGTGTCCTCTCTGTATAGCATGTGACAGTCTCCAAACTGTCCTATTCTGTACACTGTGCACTACGTAACATGCTACTGCCACACTGCAGTCTACAAACTTTGAGAGACACCCGTTGTGTGGGTCCCCTCACAGGCTCCCAGTAGTTGATGTTTTGTATCTTTTGCAGTCTAGACTTGTTTTACTAGTTTGCAATAGGTAGAAACTAGTTTCAAATCACTGAGGCTGGGTTCACACCTAGGCAAAATTGTGCATTTCCACGCATGCTTTTAATGCACGAGCTTATGCGATTTTTTTGTGTGCTTTTTTACGCATAAATCAAGTCACGCGTTTTTGTGAGCAGATTGTAGCTCATTATAAATATAGAAAATGAACTGCGCCAATAAGCAAGCTAACAGCTACAAGGCACTGGAATGTACACCCACTGTGAGTGTGTATACGTGAAAAATGAATAACTAAGAACTAGATTGTAGCTCATTGATGTTAATGGGCAGACATGCATTAAACACACGCAAAAACACAGCAAATTTTTCAAGCATTTCCTATTGAGTCTATGGGGTCAAAACAAGCTGTAATATGCCACAAAAAAAAGTTCATGTACTTTTTCCAGCGACAGGCGTTTTGGTTATTGCGACAAAACGCTCAGATGTGAACAGGGCCATAAAAATGAATGGGATTTTTTGGGGGGGGGCATATATTTTGATTGTTTTTTAGGGCAGAAAAAGCTACAGAACGCTCCAGGACTAAAGGGACCTGGGAGGATGGTGAAGGTTTGCTGACATTCTAGAGCAGGGATGTCCAAACTACGGCCCTCCAGCTGTGGTGGAACTACGAATCCCATGAGGCTTTGCAAGATTCTCACAGCCACAGACATGACTCCCGGAGAGAGATGCTTCATGGGATTTGTAGTTTTACCACAGCTGGATGGCCGGAGTTTGGACATCCCTGTTCTAGAGCATCATAGAGTGGAGGAGAGCGCCGGATGCCAGGGCTATATATTATATATGATAGTATATATTAAAGTATGATTAATATATTGTCCTTTTTTTTTACATTGTGTTTTTGTACTAAACCAAACCCCCTTGGTTAAATTAGCTAATTTCTTATCACCCTAAACATATTTTGATCGAGTTGACATCTCTGACAACGCTCCACTCTCAATACTATGTGATATACTCTATGCACAATAATTATATTAATAGATAGGACAAATATCACCTCATTCAATGAATGGGCACACTTTTGCTGGCTTACAGTTGTGCTCCTAAGTTTCCATACCCTGGCAGAATTTATGATTTCCTGGCCATTTTTCAGAGAATATGAATAACACGAAAACCTGGTCACTCATGGGTAGTGTTTGGCTGAAGCCATTTATTATCAATCAACTGTGTTTACTTTTTTCAATCATAATGACAACAGAAACTACCCAAATGACCCTGATCAAAAGTTTACATACCCCAGTTCTTTTAACATCAATGGCAGCTTGAAGTCTTTTGTGGTATGTGTGGATGAGGCTCTTTATCTTCTCAGATGGTAAAGCTGCCCATTCTTCCTCCAGGTCCTGTACATTCTTGGGCTGTGTTGCATGAACTGCACGTTTGAGATCTCCCCAGAGTGGCGCAATGATATTGAGGTCAGGAGACTGAGATGGCCACTCCAGAACCGTCACTCCTCTGTAGCCAATGACAGGTCGACTTGGCCTTGTGTTAAGGATCATTGTCATGTTGGAATGTCCAAGTACGTCCCATGCGCAGCTTCCGGGCTGATGCATGCAAATTGTCCTTCAGTATCTTTTGATAACATACTCCATTCATCGTGCCATCAATTCTGACCAACTTTGCTGTGCCTTTGTAGCTCACACATCCCCAAAACACCAGCGATCCACCTCCGTGTTTCACAGTAGGAATGGTGTACCTTTCATCATAGGCCTTGTTGACTCCTCTCCAAATGTAGAGTTTATGGTTGTGGCCGAAAAGCTCCATTTTGGTCTCATCACTCCAAATGACTTTGTGCCAGAAGGTTTGAGGCTTGTCTCCGTGCTGTTTGGCGTATTGTAAGCGGGATACTTTG